TTAAATGAAAATATAGAAAAGGAAGCTAGAAAACCATGTGTACATAATAAAAGATTCAATATCCTATACTAGCAGATGCAAATTAGATATACGAATCTTTAATAGAAATTCACTGAAATTTTTAATCATGGTCCTGGTTAAGTCATTTGTTACCTAGTAGAGCTTGAACTTGCAACCTTGCGATTGTGACTACTATGGTCTCTTAAAAGTTCTTTAGTAGAAGTATCAATAATTTTCAAATTCAAATCATTACTTTCTGATAAATCTTCAATTTTTAATATTTTCAAATTCATTATTACTTTTTGATATATCTTCAATTTTAACATTTTCAAATTTATCATTACTTTTAACATTTTCAAATTCATTCAACATCATTATAAAATAATTGAAGCCGTTAAATCGATAGTTCCCAAGATCAATAATAATGCAGAAAACAATAGTTTAACTTATTTGAAGTATGTCTATTATGTTCTTCTTGGCCACAAATTCTACATTTATATGATCTTTTAGTAGAACTGTTGTATATTGGAGGAGTTGGTAGTAGTGTAGTGATATGATCACAGGTATATCTATTATGCTCTTCTTGGCCACAAATTCTACATTTTTTGAATCTTTCAAATATGAGGAAATATATTAAGAGTTATATTATTAATATATTTGAAGTGTTCAATGAGTCATATAGTATATGTGCCAAATTGTTAACACAGAGAAAATTTTGATATTTACAGATTCATGCATGCCATCATGACTGAAAAAATTGGTTGTTGATATGTAGATATTAGTATTGATATACATAGAGATATTCTTGATTTGCATAAGATTCAATTGATCAAGTACACCAAGATATCGTCTGATATTTCTAGGAAAAAAAACAATTAGTTTATGAAACAAGTTTGACAAAGAATCAGATTGAGGTTATTATATTAAATGAGTATATTGATATTATTGATATTGTTTCGAACATTTAAAGATTGCCAAAACATAGAATTATTTGGTTATACTGAGTATACTGATATGGATGAAAGATTTTATGAATTTTCTAATGAGATATTAGATTTTCTTGGGTCTGATACTTTCTTACCTATGTTAGATGAAATTGATCCTATTGCTGTTTCAAATAATCTTTGGTAGATTCTTCTTTAATTGTATTGATAGAATCAAATGATAATGATAATATATATAAAAATTCTAATAATGGGTCTAATTCTAATATTGATCTAACAATTGATCTTGACAAAGGTTACTATGA